TCAAAGGCCCATCCAGTCCAACACTCTGTGTCACACAGTGGCCAGAAACACCAGGTGCCATCAGGAGGTCCACCAGTGGGGCCAGGACATTAGAAGCCCTCCCACTATTGACCCCCCCTAGCACCAAGATGACAGAGCATCACTTGCCCCAGAGCCCCTATCTATACCTTGTGGTTAATAGCCACTGATGGACCAGTGCTCCATATGCTTATCTAATTCCCTTTTGAAGACGTCCATGCTTGTAGCCGCCACCACCTCCTGTGGCAGTGAATTCCATGTGTTCATCACTCTTTGGGTGAAGAAGGACTTCCTCTTATCCGTTCTAACCCGACTGCTCAGCAATTTTATTGAGTGCCCACGAGTTCTTGTATTGTGAGAAAGGGAGAAAAGTACCTCTTTCTCTACCTGCTCTATCCCATGCAGAATCTTATAAACCTCGATCATGTCACCCCTCAGCCGTCGTTTCTCCAAGCTAAAGAGCCTCAAGCCAATCAGGCTAATGGACCATCCAGTTCAACACTCCATGTCACACAGTGGCCAGAACCTAGGTGCCATCAGGAGCAAAGCCCTGAAACTGGGTAAGATTGGCAGCTGCGTTTTCATGTGCATTCTCTTTGGTGACTTCCAGCTTGACTCCCATTTCACAACATGCACAAAACAAAAAAATGTTCAGAAGGGCATTTTTATACAGGGAACAGAATTTTGGTATAAAGGAACAGCTCAGGAGGTCCCTTCTAGGTGGGAGCAGGATTGGAGCCTATGGCAGTGCTTATTGTATGTTGAATATGAGACTTGAGGCAGCAGGTGAACTGTGATTACAGCTTTATTCAACAAAGTCAGAAGAACAAAACGAGACAAACAACAGAGCAACAGGCTCCTTTTTAAACAGTCCGGGCTTGGCAAGCCACGCCCACATGTCAGATAACAACCAATCATATTCTGTACATAAAGACCAATCAGTTTGTTTCCCTCCAGAACTTCCCTGGTTCTGATAGGTTGGTTTTCAGTGCCTTACACCAGACTCAAGCTCAATACATACATACATTCCATTCCATACATAACGTTGTATGTATCACCTTCCTTGGTTACTGGAATGCCCTCGGCCTTTTTAACTTCCTTTCATTGTGTCAGGATATGCCCAGGCCTAGACCAGCATTCCTCACTGTGGTGCCCGAGGGCATGTTTAGACTTCATGTGTTCTTTTCATTCATGTTTTTTATCAGTAACCTCATCACGTGGTTTTATCTTCCTAGGAAAGGCAGGCTATGAATCTTGTCAAGTAAACTAAAAATTCGGCAGTTACCAATTTTAAACGTTGCCCCACGTTTAATGTAATTCCGTTAATGAAAACCCTCATACTTTTAGGGTCAGGGGATCAGGTGAGAATGACAACCAATCGATACCCATTGCTTCATGATAGTTCCAGACACTTACATCATACACCCTACTCTTAAAAGGAACTGTTCTCGTGTGAAACTAATTTTCAGCTGTAGCCTTATGTCTTTGAGAGGTGATAAGGAGGCAGAATGGTGTGGCAAATTAACACCACCTGCAGTAGGTAACAGCGTTCCGTGTGCCTTGGTGTTTAGTCATGCCAGCCACATGACCACGGAAATGTCTTCGGACACCGCTGGCTCTTCGGCTTGGAAACGGAGATGAGCACCACAACCCTAGAGTCAGATTCGACTGGCTTTCGAGCAAGGGAACCTTTACCTTTTAATAAGAAGCTAAGAGGAAAGACTGAATCTTGTTGCCTTAAAACCTTCATTCTGCTTAGCTGAAACAGAAGCAGTTAAATAATATTTGGGTTGTGTGTCCAGTTACTTTCACATGGGATTTTGCTTATTTTATGCTAGTAGTGAAAGATCCCTTGTAATTCAAAGTTGGCTTGGGAGCTAGCAGGTTACCACTGTGCCCGTCAGGAACTTGTTCTAACTGCAGTATTGTCTGATAACTAGCCTTCTCTTTTTTACAGCATTTTAAATTAACAAATCAGATTTGACCAGATTTATGTTATGGTGATGCCACAGATCACCAGGGAATGTTTCAGCCAATACAGAGATACATACCGGGTGCTCTCCAAAATTCATGATGTTTATCTTTTCCTGTATCACTTAGGTAAAGGTAAAGGGTTTCCCTTGCTCGAAAGTCAGTTGAATCTGACTCTAGGGTTGCGATGCTCATCTCAGTTTCCAAGCCGAAGTGCCAGGGCTGTCCGAAGACATCTCCATGGTCATGTGGCCGGCGTGACTAGACGCTGAGGCGCACGGAACACTGTTACCTTCCCACCGAAGCGGTCCCTATTTATCTACTTGCAGTTTCTTGCTTTTGAACTGCTAGGTTGGCAGGAGCTGAGGCCAGAGATGGGAGCTTATTCCGTCATGCGGCACTCAGGTCTCGAATTGCTAAACTACCGATAAAGATAAATGCGGTGACTGGAGCTGTGAATGGGAAGACAGATCTTTCTGCAAACCGAAAAATTCCCCAGGGTTGCAGGAAAATGTGAAATATATTAGGAAAAAATTGGTGGTGTTTTTTTTAAAAGTATGATAAAAGGAGAACCTGCAGCTTCAAGAAATGGATTGCCTTAGTGGCTGTTGCTAGGCAACCACAGCATTCCATACTGGGATTCTGTGAGTAAAAGGCAGGGGAAGAGTATAGGGTCCTTGTCAGGGGTCTTTTTGGCCTCTGAGGGAGCACTCGTTCATTCATTCATTCATTCGGATTTATATCCCACCCTACCCGCGGGCAGGCGGGCTCAGGGCGGGTAACAACAATGTAAAATGCAGCACAGTTAAAACCAAGTTAAAACCACAGTATAAAATGCCATATTCCTAAGTACCATGTCGGCTCTGATAGAACCATATCAACAGTGGCAGAAGATTTCAAGATGTTATGGCCCAGGTGGGGTTGGCCACAAAGAGGGGGTGCCCGTCACCTCAACCAAAAGCCTGGTGGAAAAGCTCCGTTGTACAGGCCCTGCCAGGCCTTCCTAGAGTTGCCAGTTACAGGTTGACAAATTCCTGGAGATTTGGGGGGTTGATCCTTGGAGAGGGCAGGACTTGGGGAGATGAGGAGTCTCGGGCAGATATTATTTATTTCTTTACATTATTTATCGTTCACCTTTCTCATTTGGAATCAAGGCAGATGACACAGAGTGAGTCAATACAATCGACCAAGATGGAGCATTCAATGAAAACACACACGGGTCGTAGAGCCAGTCAGAAACCTAAAAACAGGACTAAAGCAGAAGAAGAAGTCTTCACGTGACACATTAAATGATTCAGAAACTACACAGGAGAATCCTAGTTCAGGACGCTAAACACAGTAGCATAGACCACAGTCCCTAATCATTTATCCAAGTAATTCTGCGAGTCATTTAGTACAGTGCAACTCTGTGGCAGGCACAGAAAAGCTCTCTGGAATGATTGTTTTGCAAAGTTTGTGGAAAGCCAGGAGAGTGGGAGCCTTTCTGGCTTCCTCGGGCAGGCCATTCCTTAAGGTGGGGGGCCACAACAGAGAAGGTGCAGGTATAGGCGGTTGTTGATTTTACCCATTTGCAGGTTGGTACCTGCAGAAGACCTAGCTCAGATGAGTGAAGTTTTTAAGAACATAAGAACATGCCAATGTTGGATCAGGCCAAAGGCCCATCCAGTCCAACATTCTGTGTCACACAGTGGCCAAAAATACCAGGTGCCATCAGGAGGTCCACCAGTGGGGCCAGGACATTAGAAGCCCTCCCACTGTTGCTTCCCCCCCCCCAAGCACCAAGAAGACAGAGCATCACTTGCCCCAGAGCCCCTATCGATACCTTGTGGCTAATAGCCACTGATGGACCTCTGCTCCATATGCTTATCTAATTCCCTTTTGAAGACGTCCATGCTTGTAGCCGCCACCACTTCCTGTGGCAGTGAATTCCATGTGTTTATCACTCTTTGGGTGAAGAAGGACTTCCTTTTATCCGTTCTAACCCGATCGCTCAGCAATTTCATGGAGTGCCCACGAGTTCTTGTATTGTGAGAAAAGGAGAAAAGTTCCTCTTTCTCTACCTGCTCTTTCCCATGCATAATCTTATAAACCGCGATCATGTCACCCCTCAGTCGTCGTTTCTCCAAGCTAAAGAGCCCTAAGCGCCTTAACCTTTCCTCATAGGGAAAGTGTTCCAACCCTTTTATCATTCGAGTTGCCCTTTTCAGCACTTTTTCCAAAGCTACAATATCCTTTTGTGGCAGTGAATAGTGGGAGAGGCGGTCTCACAAATATGAGAGGTCAAGGCAACGAAGGGCTTTGTACATAATAGCCAACACTTTAGATTGCAGATGTCAGAAAGAGTTAGCTTGGCAGGTAACCTGAAGTAGTGAGTTTCGCAGAGGAGGGCAACCACTAAAAAGACCCTTCTTCGTGTAGCTACTTTCTGAGCCTTTTTGAACCTGCAACACCTGAGCATTTGAAGAAGACCCTAATCAGAACCAACTATACCTATGCAAGTTCACCCTCATATGGATTCTCTGAGGAACATGAAAGTCGGATCTGTGCCTCAGACTCTTGCCACACATTGAGCATTGATGGGGTTCCTCCACTGGGTGGTCCCCTCGATGCTAAGGCGATATCAGCTGATCCTTCAACCCACAGAGCCCACCCCACCCTTGCTTTCTTCCCTGTGGGATCTATTTTAGGTTTTGAACATGGCTAAAGCTCTTTCCACAGTCCCAGCATTTTTAACATTTCTTCCCAATTAAAGTACAGTTTCTGTGTAGATTCCAGCTTTTAAAAACACTGCACATCGTTTCAGTGATTTCTATAGTCTGTGGTTGTGTTTTAGGTATGAAATAGAAAAGCTCTTTTCACGGGCTAAGCAATTATATGGTTTCTTCTTGTGTGAGTTCTTAGATGCCTCTGAAGAATGCTACTCCGACCGAATCTCTTTCTACACTCTGAGCACTCGAAAGGTTTCTCCCCCGTGTGGGTTCTTTGATGCTGCAGAAGATTCCCATGGTCACTGAACCTCTTTCCACACTCTGAGCATTCAAAAGGTTTCTCCCCCGTGTGGGTTCTTTGATGTCGCTGAAAAGTGCCACCGTGACTGAATCTCTTTCTACACACTGAGCATTCAAAAGGTTTCTTGCCTGTGTGGGTTATTTCATGCTGTTGAAGTTGGTGTCTCCAGGTGAAGCTCTTTCCACACTCTGAGCATTCAAAAACTTTTTCGCCTGTGTGGATTCTTACATGCTGATGAAGAGTGCCACTGTGACCAAATCTCTTTCCACACTCTGCACATTCAAAAGGTTTCTCCCCTGTGTGAGTTCTGAGGTGCATTTGAAGACTGCCCTTCCCACAAAACCTCTTTCCACACTCTGAGCATTCAAAAACTTCCTCCCCTTTATGGATTCTTACATGCTGGTGAAGAGTACCACTGTGACTGAATCTCTTTCCACACTCTGAGCATTCAAATGGTTTCTCCCCCATGTGACTTCTTAGGTGCATCTGAAGACTGCCCTTCCCACTAAGTCTCTTTCCACATGCTGAGCATTCAAAAGGTTTCTCCCCTGTGTGAGTCCTTAGGTGCATTTGAAGATTGCCCTTCCTACAAAATCCCTTTCCACACTCTGAGCATTTGAAAGGTTTCTCCCCTGTGTGGGTTATTTGATGCTGTTGGAGATGGTCACTCCGACCAAATTTCTTTTCACACTCTGAGCATTCAAAAGGTTTCACTCCTGTGTGGGTTCTCTGATGCTGTTGACATTGGTCTCTCCAGGTGAAGCTCTTTCCACACTGTGAACATTCAAAAGATTTCTCCCCTGTGTGGGTTCTAAAATGTTCAAGAAGATGGCTACTCTGTCTGAACCTCTTTCCACACTCAGAGCAATCAAAAGGTTTCTCACCTGTGTGAGTTCTTTGATGCCGCTGAAGATGGCCACTCCGACTGAATTTCTTTCCACACTCAGAGCAATCAAAAGGTTTCTCACCTGTGTGAGTTCTTTGATGCCGCTGAAGATGGCCACTCCGACTGAATTTCTTTCCACACTCAGAGCATTCAAAAGGTTTTTCTCCTGTGTGGATTCTTTGGTGCCGTTGAAGATGGCTACTTCTATAGTATTTCTTTCCACACTCTGTGCATTCAAAGGGCTTTTCCCCTGTGTGGATTTTCTGATGCCGCTGAAGGTTGCTACTGTAACTGAATCTCTTTCCACACTCTAAGCATTCAAAAGGTTTCTCCCCTTTCTCCCCTGTGTGGATTCTTTGATGCTGTTGAAGAGTGCCACGCTGACTCAACCTCTTTGCACTCTTGGAGTATTCAGAAGATTGCTCCCCTCTATGGATTCTTTGGTGCACAAGGAGCTGTGATCTGTATTTTAAGTACTTTCCACACTGAAAGCACTTATATGCCTTCATTATGCTGTTCTTTGGAAAATGTATATTACCCTTTCTTCCATCAGAGAATGTCATTCCACCCTCTGAGGAGATAAATGGTTTCTCTGCTGAATGAACAAAGTCTGATTTCTTTGAGAAGCTCTCGCCACAGTGTGAATTGCTAAAAGGTTTTTCTCCGGTATGTGTTCTTAGATGTCTAATTAGTTCTGCTCTACAAAGGAAGCTCTTTCCACACTGCAGACATTGAGGAGTCTCCTTTCCGCCGTGCATTCGTAAATGGATATTATATTGGGTTTGATCTGGGAAGTTCATTCCACACTCCAAGCACTTGTATGTTTCCTCCACCATGTGAATTACTTCACGGAAGTCTCCCCTTCTGCAAGGAATGCTTTTATCCCTCTTCTCAAGCATGTGGCTTCTTTTCTGCCTCTTACATCTGCCTTGATTCCTGAAGTTTCCTCTCAAGTCTTCATTCTTGACTACATCTAGCAATAGATGATTCGGTTCCTCATCTCCCTCTTTCCTCTGATCATTCCCTGCCGAAATAAAGAGAGAGATCCTGTTACAACCTGTACAAGAGAGGTCTGATCTGCTGCTGAATTTACATCTACACTCTAAATATTTCAGTGGCTTCTTCCTGCTGTACACTAAAGTGTACAATAATATACACTTGAAAAGTACATTAAGCATCCTGCATCATAGATGCTTGGTTTGGAACATATTTATATGGCTCCCCACCACCATAACTTCCGTGACGTGAAATAAGAGCTAATTTCCTACTGAAGCTCTTTCTGCACGCCAATTGGTTATAGGGGTTCTCTCATAAGGGAATTTGCATCTGTGAAATGATGTTCATTCTCTGACTAAAGGACTTTGTAAAGGCCACACTTTCATTTCCCTTTTCCCTGGAGTGGATTCTCTGGTTCACATGGAGGCTTTTGTTCCCTATTTTTTTTATTGACCTTTCTTTCTCCCCCCCCAAAAAAATAATTTATTCAATTTTCAAAATTCCAATAACAAGTAAAAACAATTGTTTACAGGATAAGTATACATAAACTCAACAGCATAAAAGAGAGCATTTTTTCATAAGCTTAGTGTTGACGTCAACCTTTCCCACAAATGAAGAGTGTCTATTATCTCTGGTCTTGTTCCTTGAGAAACTAGATGGGATACGATCGGTAGCCATATCATTGTAAATTCACTATATTCACCATTAGACTTTGTTGGATTCATTATGTCGGATATTTTTTCCATTATGTATAAGTTCCATAACTTTTTGTACCATAAGTTTAGGGATGGTTTAATTTCTGACTTCCATTTTGAAGCTATGGTTGTTTTGGCTGCGAATAATAATAAAGCAATTCTTTTTCTTTGTCTAGTGAATAAAGCCATTTTATTTCTAAGGTTAAAGAGTAAAGATTCTGGGTTCTTTTTTATAGTGTGACCAGATATACACCTAATGTCCTCTAATATTTCATCCCAAAAGGGTGTTATGATAGGACATTCCATCCACCAGTGGATGTAAGTGCCATTCTCTTTGCAATTTCTCCAGCAGAGGGAGTTTGAGTTGTGTGTGATATGAGAAAACTGTACGGGGGGTTAAGTACCTTTCTTCATGGACTGGGATTTCATGGAAGCTCTGTCTTTGGCAAGGAATGGGCTTATCCCTCTTCTTCTTCTTTATTTATTTGATTTATACCTCGCCCTCCCCGCCAAGGCAGGCTCAGGCCGGCTTCTGTGTGTGGCTTCCCTCCTGCCTCTGTGGTCCGTCTCCATCTCTGAAATTTCTTTTGGCATCTTCATTCTTGGCTGTTTCCAAAGAGCAGTCTTGGGATTCCCCAACCATCTCCTCTACATCTGTTGCTGAAATTGTCATGATCTGGGCTGTGCCACCAGAGGCCTACTAGGCCCAGGGAGCCTGGCTAGCAGTAGGTGAGGCTGGGCCTACAACTCCCAGAAGCCCCTGAGAGGAGAGGTTTTGGAGCCAAAATTGACCAATAGGAAAGAAGAGGGAACAAAAGAGCTGGGGCCAGAGCAAAGGCTGTTCTTTTCCCCAGAGGGCAGAGCCAGAAGGAAGGCTGCTGCAGGGGAGAGACCCTCATTCTGAGGGAAGGGTGAGTAGTCTAAGGCCACTGCAGATCGTGAGCTAGGGACAGTATATATTTAGACGCGTTAGGACATTTGATTTCTTTTCACCCACTTACTGTTATAATTCTGCACCTTGTTGTTTGACCTCCTATACAATAAACTATTTTCATTGTTTCACTCTGCCTGGTCCTCATGCCTATTATTCGGCCAAAAGGGAGGTCTGAAGGTCTTGGGAGAGTGCTCTGGGCCTTCTCAAGGGAGCCTGGAGCCAGAGTGGTGGCAGCGTCAGGTGACACCCCACCTGAGCCATGACAGGAATAAAGAAAGAGGTCTAATTGGGAGCCACGTAAGAAGCCAGGCCACCACTCAGGCACTGGTCATTAATGGGTCACACCTTGCCCCAGCCAGGCCCTCCAGTAAAGCTGTTTTTGTATTCTGCCTATATCCATCCCATCCTCAGCCTCCTCTGTTAAGGGGGGGAGAAGTGGCAAAGAATCGTTCCCCCACTGTTCACATTTGACTTTCCGTGCAGCTCTTTTGATTCTCTGCCCTTGACAATTCAGTCTAGTGGTTAAGTGTGCGGACTGGGAGAACCGGGTTTGATTCCCCACTCCTCCACTTACAGCTGCTGGATGACCTTGGGTAAGCCATAATTCTGTCAGAGGTGTTCTTGAAAAAGAGCACTTCCTGTCAGAGCTCTCTCAGCCTCACCTACCTCACAGAAGAGGAAGAAGAAGAGAAGAAGAGATTGGATTTATACCCTGCCCTTCACTTAGGAGTCTCAGAGCAGCTTGCAATCTCCTTTCCCCTCCCCTCCCCACAACAGACACCCTGTGAGGTAGGTGGGGCTGAGAGAGCTCCCTCAAGGACTGCTGTTTCAGAACGGCTCTGACAGAACTATCGCTTGCCCAGGGTCATCCAGCAGCTGCAAGTGGCAGAGTGGGGAAAACTAACCCGGTTCTCCCAGATTAGAATTCGCGCACTTAACCACTACACCAAGCTGGCACAGGATGTTTGTTGTGGGGAGGGGAAGGGAAAGGAGTTTGTAAGCCGCTCTGAGACTCCGAGTGAAGGGTGGGGTATAAATCCAATCTCTTCTTCTTCTTCTAAATACAAGAAATATTTAATTGTATTGGGCTCCAGTGGAGGGGAGTTTTGGCCAAAGCTTTTTATCTATGAGCAGGCACCAGCTCTGCGAGGCAACAGGCCCACTCCAGTGACCAAGTATCTCAGCTCCAGTGACAAAGTGTCCGGAACGAGGGAATAAACAGGCGAATTTAGCATACGTGCGAATTCAGTAGCAGGGTACGGAAGTCAGGACACTATCTCTCCGTGTCCCTAATACAGCAAGCAGACTTTCCTCAAACAAATCCACATCAATAGGAAATGTACAAAAGGGGAGATTTTAAAAACAAAACAAAAAACTATTATGAAGGTAGAGTGCCATCGGGGGTTATGCAGTGTATTGTACGGTGTGTCACACGTATGACTGTCTGCCGACTGGACAGGAGTCTTGGGCATGTGCTCAGTGCAAGGAGCTCCTGGTTTTCAGGGAAAGCGTTTGCACCCTCAAGGCTAAAGTGGCTGACCTGGAGAAGCAGAGACGGTCAGTTAGGCGCACGGAGAACACTCAATGGCAGCCAGCTGATCTTGGAAGGAAACAATTGGATATAAATGGCTGTTTCCA